TACGACGCGTCTCGCGATGGTTGCGAGGTAGACTGTTCCGACTCTAAAACTTGGGAGTCATTTTCTCGTAGACTCGTCCGTTCTCTCTTTTTATTAACATAACTAGGATGGTCTGAATAAGCTCGATACTTGGAAGCTACTCGCTACTCGCGTAAGTATAATAGAAGAGGAACGATAGAACGTCACGAAACGGCGGAGACAACCTGCACCCATTTGCGGCACGTGAAGGGATTATGGCGGATCCCGTATAAAAGCCCGACGAATTGCGCGCGAGTGCCGCTCGGGTGGAAATTCCCGGACTACATTTTTCACGAATTCCGAGGACCGAGATACTCGGAGACTGTCCATATGTACGATGGGATTAAACAATTTTGTTTCTGGAACTCTAATCCAATTAAAATTCATTAATTACTTATAATACGAAAGAAAAATGAAAAAGAAATAATAATGTATGCGAATATATGGAACAATTGACGCAAGATGTCTAGCTCAAACACGATTCTACGTGAGCAGCGTAGAGACGACCATCGCGTGCACTTTATCGCGTAGACATGTCAAGGAAGGATGGAGATAGAGCCTACGACCGTGGCAGTTTACTTCGCGCGTTGTACATAGAACTTCAATACCGGACGGCGGGCGGCGGCGCGGCGGGTCGGCCTGATTTACATCGCGTAACCTGTGGAGCTCCGATCGGGAAATGGGACCGGGTGAGAAATTGATGTCGCTGCCGTAATGCATATTCCTGACAAACAGTTTTTTCCTCTTCGCTTTCTTTTTTCTTTACACCTAAGCTGTCAGGGTCTCGGTGTGGAGAGTACACCTCTCTGACAACGGATTGTTATTCTTTAGACAAGGTCTTTCTCCGATGCGAAACTGGGTTACGAGGTGAAAATATTTGAGATGCTAAAATGTTTAATTTCTTACTTTTGACCTCACGGCAATGCAACGCGGGCGTTATTTGTCTATTATTATACATGTCGGTCTTTTCTATCGTGCTTTCTCACCTTACCACGAAACTATATTCACGCCTACGCCGATCTCGCACCTAATTCCGTTCCTTTGAGCTTCCGTATCGGGCGCCCGAGCCCGCCTGTTGCGCCCGATTCGCGAGTCACGACCGGATTGATAACCGACCGATCGGCATCGGTGCCCGGACAATAAATCAACCACCAGCCGGGATTTGCTCGAGCATGGCCAATAAACACGCCCGGTTAATGATTTATCACGACGGTGTATCCGAGATGCATGTTTTCGATCGATGTGTTCGTAGATCACTCTCCAATCTATTTCTTTCTCTCTTTTCTACGTAGTCGGGCCCAACAACAAAATGGACAATAATAAAATTAACCAGTCGAGAAACAAAATTAAATTTATCTGTAATTTTAGTATGAAAAGAATTTCTCATACTGAAAGTATTTATAAAAGTTTCACCCTCGCTAAACATTGTTACGAAATTGTTGTCTCCATATTCCGAATTACCGTTCTCATTAAATAGAATCCGAATACAATTTTTTAAAAGCATTTTATTTCAGACATAGCAGACAGTATTCAACTTCGTTGTGTGGCAGGCATTGCAAAGTTTAATCGCATAATATTTCTCTATTAATTTTCTCACGGATATTTAATAACTTATGAAACTTAATTACAAGTGATCCGAAACGCCTGTTCAAACATAACACAATGTAGGGATAGATGATTCACTTTACGCAAGGCAAGGGTTAACGGTTTAATTGTCCCATCGGAACCTTCATCAGTTAAAGAAATGTTTCAAGACCTTACTACACATCCTTTTCCCTATCTGACAAAGATTTGTACATGTATAAACATTTTATCTGTTTTTAAATGTCTTTGAGAAGTCAATCGAACATCATATTAAAATAGAGGAAGTAAGGTAAATGTAACCAATGCCTGAACATGTACCTATGTCTTGACATTTTTGTCATTTTAATCCTTAAATAAGTTATAACGCAAATAAAAAATAAAAAATCAGAGATAAAAATATTCTTCTTGTATTATATTTTTACCTTTGATTTTAATTCGCGTTATACTTATTTAAAAACTAAAATGATAAAAGTGTCCAGACATAGATCTTGAGTATCCCGGCATTGGTATATTTACCTTACGTCTCTTTTCACGTTTCAAAAATTCTCATAGGCGTTCGTAGAACCCGTAGATCCCTGATAACGTGTCTGTAGCGTCTAAACAGATTCTGCATCTGCGGTGCGAACGGATCGCGCTTTCTTTCTCATAATGGGTCCGCTTGAGTCATTCTCGAAGCATTCGTATATATTCGCGCTCGCCACCTGGCCTCTCTATATAGCGGGCGTCACGACCGGGGGCCCCCGGACTTTTACGCGCTCCTCGGGTGTATTTACGAGCGAGCTTGAGCCCGGGCCTACATGGGGAACAAGATTCCGGGTATTAAGTTGTTGCGAGAGCGAGATGCCGACGACGACGCGGGCGATCGATCGATCTCGTCGAGGGCGAAACCCCGACGTCTCGCCAGGCGAAACGTGTCCCATGTCGATTTTACGAGTACGTTCCGTTCCGTTCCGGTATTCATGGAACGATTCCAGAAAATATTGGCGAGAAATTACAGCCCGCGCACCGAGAGTTTATTCACCAAAAGTGCATTTCATTATTTCACGATTCTATCGACTATCTGGATCGCGCATAGAAAATTGCATATAGTGCTAGATATTATTCAGATATTATATTAACCCTAGAGAGTCTTTCTGGGGTAATATGTCACCCCACGCGAAATTCAAATTGCGCCCCTGCTTTAGGAAGGTTAGTTTTCATACCGAGACCCTAACCATAATTCAGTTTAGTCATCCGGCAGTCGACCTCCGTCATTCAGCAAGTGCGTTAGATCCGTGCAGCAGCTGTCAACCGAAAAAGAAAATCGTTTGGGGTGACATATCACCCTCTTTGGCCGTTTACGTTCGACATTTTTCACAGTAAAGTATATTTCAGATTTTTTGTGAAAGTCGATAACGAAAAATTATACACTTTATAGCACTCCCCGGAAAATTCTACCCCTGTTTCATATATAATTGTTTAAGATTCGGTCAATTATTTTATTTTTGATGTTCTTGCACAGCAACTGATTAAAACTTTGTAAAGTTTTTGTGAATTTAATTTTACTGTTTCCATATACTTTTATAACTTTTGACTACCTTTCAAATAAATAATAATCGACAGAATCTGTTTTACTTTCCATTTTTTGCGATTTTTCCCATCCGACAGTTTTTCATCATTTCCTCTACTTCAGATGTTCAAAGAAATATGTTTTTTTTTAAGAAACGAAAAAATCGCTTACATGCCCTTGAAGGTTGTCTATTCGTCTTTCAAAATCCTTGAAAATTATTGGAAATTTTAAAATCGGTGAATTTTATGAAAAACTACAGCATTTTTTATAAAAATAGTCATTTCAGCCCAATTTTTGGTTCTTTTTCTTGTTTTTCGAAATTTTTTTACTGTTTTTTTTTACTACCGCAAATTGATGACTACTATCGTCTTCCCTATTAAACAACAAACAAAATTATCTATTCTAAAGTTTTCTAAGAACATTCTGGAAATATTATACACGCGGTACAAGTTTGGGGTGTTTTTATACCCCGCTTGGCCTTTCACGTATGAGAAAATTCATAAAGACTCTATAGGGTTAAATCAAGAGATACATTTCCCTTAATATTTAATCTTTAATCTATTTACAGCGCTGAAAGCGATCAATTGAATTGCTGGGAAATAGAATTCCGATCGCGCTTTTCGATATTTTATTAACGCGTAAGTCTTCAAATGTAATAATATAATTACTAATTATATTATTGATGATGGCAAAGTTCAATCTGCGACATCGACAGATATTGTATCCAAAGCAATATTAATTAAAGGCCCGTAATCCATCTGTAATTAAATGCGGATTTAAGCGCACGATGCGCACTTAATCGATTTAATTTTTAAAATGGGATTTATATTAGTGCTTTACAAATTTTCACTCTCAACCACGTACGACAAAAGATGCGGATCTTGCACGAACAATTTACTAGCGGTAGTAAATACGGTGATTATAACATAACGATGAAAGGCTTTATGCGGTCGACGGAGTAGATTTTGCAAAGCAAAGAGAGCTGTTTGAAGTATCATATCATATTATGACTCATTAAATCCAACAGATGATAATCTCTTGTTTGTATCTCATCCGAGTCTTACTTTCTGCTTCGTATCAATGCTTGTGCCAACTTTCCTAAAGGATGTGGAACAGTTATTCTCCTTATTCTTTTCTTGCCCTTTAAAATTTAATTTACATTCGACGTTAAATTAAAATAAAATGAATTTAATAAATTGATATTCATGTCAACTAAATATACTGAAATGTAGTCGCATTGATTTTTTCTGGCCGCCAAACGAGGCCAACGGTGATTGTTCTGAACGTGTTGCGAACCGTCGGTCATGACTGCGACGTGATCGCTATGGACGTTGTGTGGATTGTTAGTAGATCGTCGCGGATTGTCGACCACGCGAGTCTCCCACACGCGATCGCACGTGCAATCGGGCCGATGCATGCAAAACCGCGTGCATATATTTCCGGAAAAATATTTCCGAAGTCGGAAAACTATTCGGATATCGATGACAGGGCGATTACGATAATAAAACGATAATCCTTTAATCTGTTATAAGCAATATCAGTGGAAAAGTTATTTCATTAACCGAGGATAATTCGACGTAATCATCGTAATCGGCGCATCGATTATTCGCGAGTCGAATTACGAGTCGTTCAAATCTTGTTGCCGTGTAATAATGCGGTTTCTCAATAATGAGTACCTATAGTTCCAGAACTAATTTGCAGCTACTAGGTCATTCAAGAGACGTATGCCGTTTGACTACAAAGCGGCACACGCCTCTTGGACAATTTAATCAGTCAAACGTGGTCTGTCGCCAAGTGGGATGAGGCATTGTATGTGAATTTCTACGAACGTATTTGCAAATATACATACACAAGCGTATATACGATCAACTCTCAAACTTGTTTTCAATTTTTATTTTACGATAACGTACTTTTTATCATATATTTAACCAAAACTAAATAATTTCTTCTCACGTTTTAAAAAGCTTTTATCGGCGTGTGATTCGCACGAGCAAACTAAAACGGGCCCATTCGGTGCGGGAACTGACTCGGCGAACTCGATTACCGAGCCGATTCGCGCGTTACGCACTTTCTCCCGTCTTCAGCCTCGTCTTCGACGATAAAATGGTAATAAAACGGACAATGGGGAGGAAGGAAAAAAAACCGCGCACGAAGGGGCCTGGTAAATGGTTTCGCACTCGCGCTTTATGCACTTTCCCGCCGGCGATGGGTTCTCGCGAGGCCGTGTCGCGAGTGCCAATCGTAAATCGAGGCAGTAAAGTCCGGGGTCAGTCTGTGTGAAATTTGCTCGGTGATATTCTCGTTTGTTGTCCTTCTTTTCTGTTTAATAACTTTCGCGGAAAGTAAAGGCAAATTTCATTAACCACACAACTATAACGATGCTGCTGCAACAACCGGCCCGTCGAGCGGGACCGAAACAACCGTGTCGTCGACCGATCCGCACACTCGCGCACTTTTGCCGCTCGACTTTCTCCAATTCCCCAAGTCGACAACTTCCCCCGAAACTTCTTTCTACCACACGCGCGCGTGAACACGTTTCGAGGGCTCCGGACAATTGCACGACAATTGCACGCACCGATGAACGACGGAAAAGCGGGCTGACTCCCTCGTATAAGGATAACGCGACGAGAGCGCGCGACACCACGACAGTAACGACGATCGTGACAGCGGCGATGACGACAGCGACGGCGAAGACACGTTCGCGAATCCCGATCGGAGAGCACGACGACTCCGACGCGCGCTGGACCACCACCCTCAGAGCGCCTGCGATTCTACAACTCACCCTCCGTCTCCCGTTCGCTCGCTCGCTCACTCGATCACTCACTCACTCGCACGCTCGGTCCGGCGTTATACGCCGACGAACCACCCTTGCCGGGCCTCCCTTCCCGCACCCCGCGCCTTCCACCACCCGGCTGGAACGAGGGAGTTCGCTGGGGTGGGATCAATATGAGTTGGGCGAACGCGGGAAATTCGCGCGCAGGTCCTTCTCCACCCTCGACGCGGATACACACACCAGCCTCCCCTTCTCCCCCAACCCTTCATGTGTCCTCTACCCGCGCGCCTTCCTCGTCTATCCTACCCACCTACATCCGCGCCCACCACGTTCCTTTTTTTGTCCCTCTCCCTCGCCCGTTGTGTTTTCCCTGGTGTTCGTGACCCGACTCGCGCCGCGCCGCGTCCCCGACGCGAGAGAAGTCGATGTCGACCTCGCTCGGTCGCCCCGTTTTCCTTCGACGACCCTCACCTGATCGTCCACGCATCGATGTCAACCAAACTTGTGTTAGCCGCTGGCACGGGGATACTGTCGAAGGACTGAGGCTGAGTAAATTTCTCCGCCGCCCCTTCGCGGGCAGCAATTTCTGTCTCGACAATATTAGGGGAAAACACTCTCACAGCGTACCCTATATACACTCATAAATATTTGCCCACCCGTAGAATTTCCTCACGTAATTTCCTTTACAACAGGTAGGTATTCTATTTTAAAACAAGATGACTCATCGCTTGTATCACGCTCATTTTTTTCAAGGTAAAAGATTTCCCTTATCGTTACATTTTCGAGAAATATAAAATGCGAATATTCATGAGAGATAGCATAGTTTGCTAGATTCACTGCATTTTTCATACTTGAAAATCCTGCTTTTCCTGATTTCCATGGCTCGGGAATATTCATATTTTCACTCTCGAAAGGATGTTAAATTCAAGAATGACCATTCGTACAATCTCAGCTGGCAAAAATTTCTGCGCTTCACGCAACAAGGTCCTTTACGAGCGAATCGAGAGTCGCGCGAGACGACCGCAGTCGCAATTTGAGAAACGGAGCAAAGAGATTTGATGAACTATAAAGTGTCGCATAAGCATACGTTATCGTACAGCTAGTAAGAAAGAAGCATAAAGGAGAAGTTATATAGATCGTAAACTCGCGACGCGTTACGCACCACGCGGTGATGCTCACGGAGTCATCCCGCTTTTAATCAGCATCGTCATCCATTCCTGGAAACCGAGCGCGCGGGCTTTTATTCGTCCGTTTTTCCGTTCGCGGGAACAGGTTTTCGCAATAAGCGGAAACTTTTTTCGCGGAATCCCGTGAGAACGCCTCAGCAAACGTCTCCACGTCTAGCCATGCCGTATCAACAAATTCGATAACGTGTCCCGCACGTTTCGGGCTGTTGCACAAGACTTTCGAACTCGTGCCACTTATAGAAATAAGATAAGATGTAGATTTTTCAGAATTACATCGCAGCCTAACACTACAAAAAACCGTATAACGGTATCAACATTAACTTTGAGAAAAGTACCTAAATAGTAGAATTTCGACTGCTTCAACGTTTCTACAAATATGATATAATCACCTAGGTCGGTTCGTTCGCGCGTCTCCGTTTAATTCGTTTCGCCGACCGTCATGGAATCGGCTTGCTCCTTCTCGATATGGCAGCAGGCAACTTTCAACGTAGAATGCATTTTTCCGTAAATTCGTGAGAACATCCGGCGACGCTCCGTGTTGTGGAAGCGTCTTAGGGAACGCCGGGGTGTCACCGATATTCGACTTTCGACTCGCGTTACGCTCGGTCGCGTTATACACGGAGATCGATAACATCGCGATACGAAACCCGCGACACGGCCGCCGTTATTTCTTCCGCCCCGCAGTGGTTGGCGATCAATTAAACGCGCTTTTATGCAAACGAGCGCGCGACCCGACGCAAAACAAACGCGAAGATAAATAGATTTCCAATTTTCTGATTATACAGCGAATTGGCACCGCGTTCCGCCGACGCGCGGCCTGCGGGAGCGAAATTCGAGCCTTTGCTCTATTTGTTAGGAAAGTGCTAATTAGGTAACGTTGCCTGCATCCGCGAGAGTTTCCGCGCGTCGCTATACTATGAACTCCCGTTTCAAAATAAAGCGTTGCCTGGGGATTCCAGCGACTCCCTTAGGGCATACGACGCATGCAGCGATATCATTTGCGAGTGATTCCTACTTTGTTAATGCATAAGCGTATTATAAGCGAATTAATTAATTTAAAAGCGTTACAGAAACTATTTGAAACGTTATTATCTTCTTATCACCAGTTAAAAAAGCAACAGTCTACGCGCAGCTGTGAAAAACGTCAGTATTATTTCTGTGCATTTTCTTCTCTCTCTCTCTCTCTCTCTCTCTCTCTCTCTCTCTCTCTCTCTCTTTCGATCTCATATTGTCGTCGACGTCTGGAATTTCATTCGCTAAACGATCGACAGCCCATGGAAAAACCGTCATTACATGAAAAGGGTCGATCCACTCTCATCGCCGTCGAGTCCGTTATCTGATTATATACGGCGTACAGATCGTCGCCATGCCCACTCGCAATAACGTTACGAATTACTGAAAGAAGTTCCGCATATCGCACAGCTTCGAAACGGACAGGCGACACGACCGGCGTTGGCGCTCGTCTGACGTATCGTGATTACCGTGATTGCGATCGTATGTGTGTGCGCGTCGAGCGTCGAGCGTACACACCACGTCGTAGATACAAAGGGACGCTTCATCGTTGCATCGGCGTCGAATTACATCTCATGTATCGGTATACGATCGCACTTCCGCTCCTTGTCGCATAATTATTTCGATCTCGCGAGTGGCTCGAGGATGCAGGGCATACACGCGATGTGAGCCTACAAACGTATGAAATGTAACGACGAGACATAACACGAGCGTTCAATCTAACGCACGAGAGAGATGGGATGACTCGAGTGAATCGCACCAATTGTAGATCAACTTGGAATGGAATTTTGTCTCGTACATCTCTTCATACTTTTTTATCCGGTTTTTGAAATCTCTTGACAAAAGCTTAGGAACAAGAAATTATCGTGACATAATCTTATACTCTCTTGGAAGTAATAACGTTTCTGAAACCGGCGAAGTTACTTCTGATTGTACATGAAGGACAGCTGCTACGAGACCGCGACGGAATGTGCTCGTTGAAATAGCTTTTCAACCCGAAACTCTTATCAGACTGTCGTGTATTAGACCACATTATGTTGTTACGGCCTACTCACGAAGTTCGTTCTCGAGGCACCCGTGTACTTACGGCGCAGTAAAAGCGGAAACTGGAGCGCCAAGCGTCTCAAATGAGTTCCGTGAAAATATTAAATCTCAAGCATCCGGAACTTTGCATCCACACAGAACGGTCTGCAAATACCACAGCAATGGCGCCCGTATATCAACAAGATCGCTGATTATGAGCAGTTCGCTCGGAGTCAAAGAGCTTACTCTAAATGTCACTCATGTATACGTTACGAGATAATCATATTTATACTGCGTGTGTGTGAATTACGGGATATTTAACCGAGAAATATTAAACAAATGTAAATCAATATTTAACGAAATAGAAAACACATTTCACGAGCCATCCTGTTGGAATTCGGATTATTTTTACGTCGTATATATTATACGTGTTATTTTACGAATAATATATCACAGTTAATTATTATATTATAATTATTTCAGTTAATTAATATATTACAGCCAATTCCTACCGTATTGATATTCGCAAATTATTAATTCACACGCAATTTCAAACGTCGAAGCAAGAGCATAACGGGAACCAGTTATTTCCGCTTACTACCGAATTAGACAAAAATCTCGTTTTTTTTAATAAATGGCTGTTATTGAGCGTAACGTTATGTGCTCAATGAGGACGGAATAATGAGACTGTCTAAAAGATGGCAGAAAATAGCTGAGAAAACAGTTAATATCTTGTGTAACAAAGTTCCGGTTTTGCACATAAAACTTGTCTTCTGAAATTTCTTAAAAAAGAAGCAAGTTTTTTTCCTCGACTTTTTGCCTTATCCAATAAAATTTATCTAGTATATAAATATTTATAATATTTATTATATTTATTATTATATAAGTCTACATAGAAGCATAAGCTAAAAAAATACGTAAACTGCATGTGCAATAAGCGTGAATTTTATATAATTTATAGTGAAAACGTATCCTTGGTAGGATATATGGGTATCCTTGTCCATTTTAAACGTTTCCTCATATGTTTTATGCGTTTTTTTTTTACAATGTGATCCTCATTGTTTATTTACAGGAGTTGGCGCGCGATCCCGAACGTCAAGCGAGTGCCAGCTGCTGACTTACGAGCTCGGTTACGAGATCGGCTGCCAGGGATTTTCTTTGGATGCGCGACGGAATTCGTATTACAGTTAAATCGCCTGGGAGGGGGAGCATTTAATGCGGCAAACGCTAACGGCGCGCGATACGGGGGATACGGGTGGCCAATTCTACCGGGAATCTAAATCTCACCGACCAGGCGGCCCATACGAGCGCCACGGCCTGAGAATCGTACACCCGCATTCCCGGAGAGTAGATGAGCTTGACGGCGTGATTGAGCGTTAAGGAGGAGAGACACGGGGAGGAGGGAGACTCGCGGTTTGCACGTTTTTACGAATCCCGTAACGTTATCACACGGATCACACGCGGACGAATATTCATGCAACTACATTCATTTACATAATCAGACATAATGACTCGCTTTATCACCCGTCACCCATCTTCACATTCGCGCGAATGAATGCACCCCGTTATGCGAGTTGACAATCAGATAAAATATCGAGCTATTCGGAAAAATGGATTGGGACTCGTCTTTCTTTTACATCGCAGTTTTGCAGACAATTCGTACACTTGTGCAAACGTGCCTGCAAAAGAGCTTCAGTGGCAAATTATTAAATTACAACTGTCGACTGTCAATGTTTTTCTAAGATATGTAAATAAAACCGAATTTTATAAAATTG